ATATGTACAATTGGACTAATTACAGTATATGTATGAAAAATATTTGCAATATATGGTGCACAAAAGTAAAGTACTCATTTTTTTTTTAAACTTTGACCATTTTGCTAATTGATTCTTATTAAACCAAAGCTTACATCATCTGCTTTATAAAATGTACATGCTACATAAAAGCATAACTTAGTTAGAGCGGTAAAATCTACGTCAAGGCGTTGCGACACTTCAAAGTCGACCCTGTCTAAAATTTATGACTGTTTATAAGCAGGCTGTCGATGTGCAAAGTCTCACCCATTCATTTAATGAACTCTTTTGTTTTTCATGAAAGGTCATTCCTTTATGAACTGATATGATATTTCTTTATGAACTGACATGATATTCCTTTATGATATATATATATGTTCTTTTACAATTAATAACATATTTCTTTATGAACTAATAATATAGTTCTTTATAAACAGATATCATATTTCTTTATGAACAGATATCATAGTTCTTTATGAACAGATATTATATTTCTTTATGAACAGATATCATAGTTCTTTATAAACAGATATTATATTTCTTTATGAATTGATATTATATTATAAGAAATTCTAGTGAGATGGTTTTGTTTGTTTTCTGTATAATTCCAGACAAACAGTTAGATTTGTTTTGCAAAAAAGTTCTCTCCCCCGATATATATTCTCTGTATAGTTTAAAACTTTTATCAGAGTAAACTTTCTTCTGTAACAACTCATGCTTTTTTCCCCTAAAAGAGGACTTTATAAGAACGCTGAACAAGCAGTATTTGGATATTTTTAAAGTTTTAATATGGATTAGAGTTTCCAAATTGTTCCCGATGAATTACAGAACCTTTTCTGAAACTGTTTAAATGATGAATCATTAAAGCTTTTGGAAATTAATGGCTTATTTTTAAACTAAATTACCCCTTGGATAATACACAGAACTTGGAGTCATGTTTTGAAAAAAGGTTACGGGACGATTAAATATAAACAAAAGTTACCTTTGTTATCAATCTTTCTTTTTGTTTTGAAAAAGCAAGTTCCCAGAACCCGAAATTTAAAAGAGTATCGTTGAACGAAACTCTTGAGTTCCCTTTTTGGGGTCTTAACATTTTGTAGATTTTGATTTAAGAGATTCTAAAGAAATGGAGAATATAAAGAAACTAATTAAAAAAATATTTCATAACAAAAATATTGATATACACAAAACTGCCTAATTCCATTCGTAAAACCCAGGTTTTAAAATTGGTTTTAATAACAATACATTGTCTTAAGTTTTGGGCTTAGCATTCTTAATACGGAACAGAAAACTGTGTACACAAACCCTATCCCCCATTCAGTAAAGATACCTGGAGATTTTGTAACTTTTCTTTCAGTCTTTGTATTTATAAAATGAGAAAAATAATATTTTCAAAGGAAAATCAGCTCTCTTGTTCATGCACTTTATTATTAGATTCAATTTATTTTCAAAGAAGTCCAGCGTTTCAAGTATTGTATATTTCAATTTCAAAAGTCTATATTAAAATATTAAGATGGACTGGAAAACTAAAAATTGCACTTTATTTTTTTTTGTAACTTTTCTTTCAGTCTTTGTATTTATAAAATGAGAAAAATAATATTTTCAAAGGAAAATCAGCTCTCTTGTTCATGCACTTTATTATTAGATTCAATTTATTTTCAAAGAAGTCCAGCATTTCAAGTATTGTATATTTCAATTTCAAAGGTTTATATTAAAATATTAAGATGGACTGGAAAACTAAAAATTGCACTTTATTTTTTGTCTATTGAATGGATACTAGCATGTGGATACTTTTAACATATGGATACTGCTAATATATTGATACTCTTAACATATGGATACTGCTAATATATGGATACTTTTAAAATGTGCATACTGCTAATATATGAATACTGATAATATGCAGATACTTCTAATATATGGATACTGCTATAATTTATGGATACTGCTAATATATGGATACTTCTAGTTAATGGATACTTCTAATATATGTATACTTCTAATATATGGATACTGCTAATATGTGGATACTGCTAATATGTGAATACTTCTAACATATGGATACTTATAATATATGGATACTGCTAATATTGGATACTGCTAATATTTGGATACTTCTAATATATGGAAACTTCTATTATATGGATACTTCTAATATATGGAAACTGCTAATATTGGATACTTCTAATATATGTATACTTAGCTGAAAACTTTAGAATGTGATATCCTTAATCCCGATCTGTTGACTTTTCTGGAGTTTAAATTCACGTGGAGAACAAGCAATATTTAAACTGGATATTAAGAAAAGGAACGGATTAAGCATTAATCCTGATATCCACCATTCTAAAGTTTTCAGCTCTTCCAATATATGGATACTGCTAATATATGAATACTGCTAATATGTGAATACCTCTAATAAATAGACACTGCTAATATATGGATATTGGATACTGCAAATATGTGGATAATTCTAATATACTAGCCTTAGAGGGCGCTTCGCGCCCATCTTCTAAATTAATTGTGAACATGTTCTCTTTGTGTACATCGTAAAACAAAACAAAAATAATTCGCGGATTTTCACAAAAAATTTCGTGGATTTTCAAAATTTTCAAAAATTTTGTGAAGATCGAATTTTTATGGAGACAAATATTTGAAATTTTGATCATTCATAAACCTTCCGGGGTCCCTATATGTCCCACAAAAAATTTGGGCCCGAACGGTTCAGCCGTTTTGAAGTTTATTGGATACAAACAAACAAACAAACAGACAGACAAGCCAAATTTATATATAGATGAAAACTTCTAATATATGGATACTGATAATATGTGGATACATCTAATATATGGATAATGCTAATAAGTGGATATCATGCCAATATATGGAAACTACTAATGTGTGAATGCTTCAAATATATGGATACTGCTAATATATGGATACTTCTAATCATTGGATACTTCTAATATATTGATACTTCTAATATATTGATACTGCTAATTTGTGGATACTTTTTATATTTGGCTACTGCCAATATATGGATACGTCTTATATATGGATAGTTCTAATATATGGATACTGCTAATTTGTGGATACTTCTAATATATGAATACTTCTAATATATTAATACTTCTAATATATGAATACTTCTAATATAGGGATACTGCAAATATATGGATACTACCAATATGTGAATACTTATAACATGTGGATACTGCTAGCATGTGGATACTGCTAATATATGGATACTACTAAGATGTGAATACTTCTAATATATGAATACTGCTAATATATGGATACATCTAGTATGTGAATACTTATAATATATGAATACTACTAACATGTGAATACTTCTAATATGTGAATACTGCTAATATATGGATACTACTAATATGTGAATACTTATAATATATGGATACTGCTAATATGTGAATAGTTCTAATATATGGATACTGCTAATATATGGATACTGCTAATATGTGAATACTTCTAATATATGGATACTGCTAATATATGGATACTGCTAATATGTGAATACTTATAATATATGAATACTGCTAATATATGGATACTTCTAATATGTGAATACTTATAATATATGAATATTGCTAATATATGGATACTTCTAATATATGGATACTGCTAATATTTGAATACTTCTAACATGTGAATAGTGCTAATATATGGATACTGTTAATATGTGGATACTGCTAATATATGAAAACTTCTAATATATGGATACTACTAATATATAAATACTGATAGTATGTGGATACTTCTAATATATGGATACTGCTAATTTATGCATACTTCTAATATGTGGATACTAATTACATGTCGATAATATTAAAATTTGGATACTTTTAACTACTTCTTACCCGTTTTGGAAACTTTTGACATATGGATACTTTTTAACATCTTGATACTTCTTAACATCTGGATACTTCTAACTTGTGGATAATTTTTAACATTTGGATACTTTTAACTTGTGAATACTTTTCTAAAAAGTGGATTCTTTTCTAAAAGTGGATACTTTTCTAAAAATGGACACTTTTTTAAAAGTGAATACTTTTCTAAAAGATGGATACTTTTCTAAAAGTGAATACTTTTCTAAAAGTGGATACTTTTCTAAAAGTGGATACTTTTCTAAAAGTGGATTCTTTTTTAAAAAAGGATTCTATTCTAAAAGAGGATACTTTTCTGAAAGTGGATACTTTTCTAAAAGTGGATACTTTTCTAAAAGTGGATGCTTTTCTGAAAGGTGGATACTTTTCTAAAAAGTGGATACTTTTCTAAAAGAATACAACCTGACTGAAAGCATCACTGATGAAAAATGTCCTGAATGTGAAAACTGTGCATCACTCGCTAAATTCACCCTGAATGAGAAAATCACTCACTTAAACATCCTGAATTAGAGTATCACTCACTAAAAATATCCTGATTGAGAGCATCAATCACTAAAAACATCCTGAATAACATCAATTACTCAATAAAAATATCCGAATATGGGCAACACTCACTAAAATATCCTTTATATGAGCATAACTCACTGAAAACATCCTAAATGATAGCAATACATGTTAAAAACATCCTGAATGACATCAATTACTCACTAAAAGCATGTGCGTTATATATCGAGTGCAGAGGGCCGGGGTTATGAGGATTATCTCATACAAAATTTCCGACCTCTCTCTGGGTTTTTGGTAATAAATCAATTATATCAATGCTTCAAGTTCTGTTTGTTTTTACTTTGAGACAGAAAGTATTTAAGAAAATAATGTTTCTAAATAGTAAACTCAATGATACGATTTACGAGACTTCATCAGTGACGACTGTATAGAATTCAAACAGTCTCTAAATTTTCTAGTTTATATCAGTTATAGTATAAACTACCAAGGGCAAGAGGGTGTTATACAAAAAAGAGGAGTTAGATCTGCCAAACTATCCGTGCATTTGGTTTGGCTATGTGATGATAATTAAATGACATGTTACACTATTGAACATTTATTTTAGCACAGTTTATATAACAAGATAATATTACTTGCTGTTGTTTATCTCGATGTTGCTGGTGATAGATGAGATTAGCATGTACAAGTAGAGGACATGTGTGAGTCCTCTATTGTTCAGAGGCTTTTGCACAGAACCCGAGAACTTCCCAAAGCTGTGCAACAGTCTCACCCAATTTACCAATTCTATAAAGAATATATTAGATGAATAATTTACATCTATAATAAGAAAATATAATACCTAATCCCTCTGATCTGAACAATTCATTTGTAACAATACATACAGCATAACAATTCTCTGGACACTAGAATATGATTTATACCTGATAATTGTTTGGAACAGATCTTAACTGAGTGCGTGGAGCTGGGTTAATCAGATTGTAAACAGTGCAGTACACTGATAAACAACATAGTAAAAAGGGGCAACCAGTACCCACGGATTAATGTTTACTGATTTTGTATAATGTATAATACATTGTACAACATCAGTTGTAAAGTAAACTAGCTTTTTTTTCTTACCAATTCGGTAAATATACCACCAAAAGCACCCAGCACCCATCTTCATTTTCAACTTTTAACTGTGGCTCTATCTGTGTATATTTTCTCTTTGTACAATATAAAACAATAATAAACGAAAGTTCGCAGATTTATTAATATTTGTTGCGCATTTTTTAAATTTAACAACAATCAAAAACTTTTGAACACAAATTTTTGTAATTTTGTTCCTCTACAAACCTTCCTTGGGGTCACTCATGTGAGGTCCCATACAAAATTTGGGCCGGATTGGTTTAGCCGTTTTGACGTTTATTTTATTCAAAATGACTGACAGACAAGCAAAGTACATATATATATAGCCAGCTTTTCAACATGGCCTGGGTTGCCGCTAAAAAATGTTGTTTAATCTGCGAGGATGCAGGTTTTTTAATATATTATATTTAATACGTAAAGGAATAAGTTCTATCATTCCTATAATGATGTTCTTAAAAAGCGGAGGGTAGTTTTCACCCTTTCTTTCGTTTACCCGGAGGTATTAATTCACCCTGAAAGGTTTTGGCTTTTAGAAATGGTAATTTACAATAGTTTTTCTTTGTAAAGTTATTCAGCTGTAATATAATTCATTGAAATGTGTACATTTAAAAAGCCCAATTGAAAATCGGTTTGACAATTCTGTCTATATACTCCTTATCTCAGCAAGCAGTGGTATCGATGATGATTTTTTATCAAAAATGACTTTTCGACTTTTCTCTTTCATGCTTTTTATACTTTTAAAACGAAAAAGTAAAAAGAAATCGACTCTGTAGGTTTAAAAATTGTTAAATTAAAGACCAAAACTAGATTGAATTCAAATTGAAGAGATTGAAAGCATCTCGCTCTGGTTAGTTCAGGATGATAATTCAAATTTTATAAATAAAATATTTTTTATATAATCTTAGAACAGCTTTTAAACATTAGTTTCTGAATAAATATCGAAATATTCAAAGAATAAAGTTTACAAAAAGTGAGTTTTTGAATATTTTATTAGAAAAAATGACAACAATTATAAATATCTACAGGTACATTTATCCTTTAGTATAATCTTGTTTAATTATAACGTTTTATTTAATTTTTTATAAATATTTCAAAATTTGTCCTTAAAAAAGTGAAAAAACCAGGCCAATGGAAGTTTAAGTGTAATTCAAATGATTTTTATCTTTCTTAGCAGCTTCAAATGTGTTTCATAATAACTAAAGTGATAAACATTAACACAAATCAATTTAAATATACATCATTAATTTGTTACGTTTATGCCACAATTCAAAATAATAAGACGTCATTCTCGACTCAACATTAAAGAACAAGGATACAAATTAATTCTTTTAAGATCCAATTGATATTACATTTATCCAGGGGATATTTGAAAATCTTCTGAGCAGAAAGGAATTGAGAATTTGTAACAATTGTTTTTTTGCGGGTTTGATAAAAATTCCACTTTGAAATAGATAAAACGTAATGCTTAATTGTTAATTTTGTGTTCTTATTCGTAATTTGATTTTTTTTAAATATATTATATAAAACTTCATGTAAAATTAAATCTGGTTTATAGACACAAACAAATATTGGATTTTCATACATATATTTATATATATTTTTTTGGTCCGCCCTATGTTGCCAAAAAACTGAGTTACTGCCAAATGCGATGATTTTGTTATCCCTATATCTTTGCAAACTTATGATGATACGAACTTTTATTCTTTTATCTAACAGAATTTATAGCTTGAAATATTAATTGCAAAGAGCATTGTGGTAAAAATCAGTTCCTCTACAAAACATTATTACAACATTATTTTACATCAAGTTAATGCTTCATTCAACCCAACAAACTTCATAATCTTTTAGACTCAATTCTTTTCGAAAATTTAAAAATTTAATAAGAAGTGAATAAAATTTATTTTAATTAATGATTAACCTGGACAATAAGAGTAGTTTTTGGAAATCTTTTTGATTTAAAGTCGAAAATATTTCAAATCATTATCTGAATTATTAATTTCAAGTTTAGCTTTTTTTAATCAAGCTGCAGACCATGGCTTGATTTGTATCATCAATCAATGAATCAATATTTGATTAGAACGCAGTGATTGATTTAATCTTCATTTTTAACCAGATTGTCCGGAGTGCAGTAGGCGAGTGTAGTACCTGGAATAAACGTACAGTGAGACCCCAAAAAAAGTCGAATAGTAAAATAGATCTGTGTTCATTAAAACACCGTACACTGCGCAATTGTAATGCTTCATTTTAATTGGAATAACTTGAGTTCCTCTTATTCCACAATTTTTTGGGACTCAACATTAATGTTTTCAAATTTTACATTGAAAAAACTATAAATAACTAGCTTCACAAAACATGAATTTCTCATCAACATTTTTAAAGTGACATATCAGCAGATAAATTCAAAATTTAAATAAATAAATGTTATTATTTTATTTTGAAACACGTAATAGATTTCTTTTATTAAAAAAAATTTAGAAGACAAATTATTACAGAATAAAAATTACCCCGATATGTTGTTCCTAAGCTCAGGATCGAGGCAAAGGAAAAGGAAAACCTTCCCAAACTGTAGCTGATAGAAGAGATAGATAATAACACGCGGCATCAGTCCCACGAGGCCATGACAACTAAAATGAATACATGAGAGGAGGAAGGCCAGCCACAACAATTTCTAGTCCGAGCCACATTCTCCTCATTTTATCTTCCGAGCCACCTCGAAATCCTCGTCCTTCGAATATTATCTTTTTCAAGTGTTTATAGAACTTCAATCTTTTTTGTTAATTTTAGCAAAAACCATTGAATTTTTTCTGGGTGGTTTCATGGGGAAAATTATAGGCAGAGGTATGCCAAATATTTTGCTATTTATTTTGTATCACGAAGGTTAGCCATTATGGAGGCAGAAGAAATTTAAGTTTCACCTAAATAAAGTTTGACATCATTCTCACGGCTTTGAAGATTTCAACATAATGTAATCATTGCAATACTTTAGTCTATTCACATTTTAAGCCCTAACGTGGCATTATTTTTAAAAGATAGTTTTACCTTCAAGAATTAGAAACACATAATAAGCGAAAGACGAGGATTTCGAGGTGGCTCGGACGAGAAAATGAGTATAATGTGGCTCGGACGAGAAATTGTTGTGGCTGGCCTTCCTCCCCTCAATACATAAAATATATCATTTATCAATATTTAGAATTCAAAATAAAAATCTAAAATATTTTAGAAACAGATTTTTTACGATATTTTAAGTATTTCATATACAAAATGTTGTAAACTATATTCTCCAAGTGGCTCAACTATCTCTTGCTTATTTATAAATCATAAACTCAGAATATAATCTAATTATTTAAGTTAATAATATAAAAATACAAATCCTAGGAATAAATCTAACCTTGCTTCAAAGTTTTCATCTTCGATCTCCTCTTTAGGTTTGTTCATGTTATCCCCACAGCCCAGGAATAGAATACCTATAATCATCATGTTCAAGTTATCCCCACACCAGGAATAGAATACCTATGATCATCATGTTCTAAAGAATGTGATCGAACATTTCTTATTCTTTTCCCTTTTTACTGTCATCTTTACTTGTACATATTGGTTTATGTTCTCCGCTACAGATATATTCTCTGTGTCAAATGTTGCTCCATACTAAAATCTACAATAATAACTATAATTCAAGACATAAATATATTTTTATATTGATTCTTGAATGATAAAATCGGAAAGATCGTCGTTTCTAGTAAATCATTCATTAAAACAATGTTAACTAAATAAGCAGGGGCGGATACAGGGGGGGGCGGCAGGACCTTCGCACCCCCCTGACGGATTCATGGGGAGGGAGGCTATTCAAAATCGGTGAACGTGAGTAGTTATATAAAAATTATCAACTTTTAATTTCAGATCCGGAATTGTAAAATTTGAGATAAAAACTGTGTATAACAAAACATCAAATTCAGGGAAAATCAAATTTTTACTATAACATTAAGTTCAAGTTTAAAAAATATGCTACATAACATAAAATTCAAGCTAAGATTACTAGATTTCATACCAAAAACCATATTAAAACACCTTCGAATTTGTTGTTCCTGTTTAGAGATTTTTGTGTACCCAGCATGGCTCAAATCCTGTGTCCGCCCCTCAAATAAAATCAAAATGTGGAAATCACTCTGGCTCTAAATTAGACCAAAGCAGAAAAATATTGTAACAAAGTAACATTTTACACTAATTCTGAAAACTCAGGAAAAAGAATTTACCAAAAAGATCATTTTTTAAGATTTCCAAAAGTGAATATTGATATAGTTTTACCTGACCTGACCTGGCCCCAATTTAAAGTGTTACATTCTGATTCACAATGATACCCTTTTTAGTTATTTAATGATTAAAAATGAGAAGAATATCTTAGTTTTTCTGCCTTTTCTTCGTTGTTTCAACGGTACCCTTAAACCTTGTGTGTTCGTGTAAATTACGTAAACCTGCTTGTTGTCGGCTGAAAATGCCTGTGGGCACTGCTATGTATTGACTGTACGTACTTCCGACGTCGTACACAGCGCACACACCGGTATTTTTAACTGCAACTCCACCCTGGCCAAGTTTAGGTAAAGGAATTGAGTCTTTGGAACAAAATCAAATATTTAACCCTCAATAACTTTAGAACCTGATGTTGTAAACCTTTGATATTTCCAAATCAGATTATTTGATCTGACAGAATTCATCGTTTGAAATATCCAAGGTCTGCAAAATTTTGTTCCAAAGATATAGTGATTAGAAAATTAGAAGTTGTGGCAAAGACTTAATTCCTTTACAGTCACATATCTCTGTACACGACTAACACATAAAGGTTACAAGGGTACCGTTGTAAATCAGGCATTGTCTTCTTCGCATGGGAGGGTGGAGGGTCACTTGAAATTACGCTTACAGTCTTACAGTTCCTTTAAGAACTAAATGCCTACCTGGAGTGTAGGTGCAAAGCTGAGAAATAAAGAACCAGAAGGAGAGAGCGAGACATTTCATGCTGATTTTCAGATCACTAATATTCAAACAAATATTAAGCTAAATAGGTATATATATACTTTGCTTGTCTGTTTGTTTGTTTTCTTGTTTGTACCCAATAAACGTAAAAACGCCAAAATTTAATATCATTAAAAAGGCCACTTTTAGAGCAATAGTTAAAAACTATAATTGTTTATTGGAGAGGGACCGCAATGCACCCCAAAAAACCATGTTTTAACAATGATAATCTATTTCTCCCATGCAAAAGGAGTGATTTTTTCCCCAGTCTGGTTGGCAATACACCTTACCTAATACTTGCCGTGTCAATCTTTTTCCCTGGCACTGCTCCTTCAAGATTTCCTGAAAATAATAAATTTATCTTTGTCAAAATTTTAGATAAAACTTCGAATTTTTTTATTCAAAATTAATAAATTTTTAAATGTTTTACCTTTGATATCCTGTTTGATAAAATGCAAAATAATAAAATTGTTAGATGATTTTCTTTACATAGATAAACAAAATATTGTACTAAAAAAGCATGAAATATAAAAATAAAAACTGAAATTGTTTGTTATACAAATAACAGGAAAAAAAATTATCCTCTTTGCCTAAGAACCTTCCTAAAGGAAATATTTCTTTGCAAAATTTTCATTTTTTTATTTAGTTTTTACTACTAGGCTACAAAACAATCTAGGCATTTTTATTACTAACAGAAAAGGCAAGGAAGAATTATCATCGTCAATTACATTTTGAAATCTTACTTCTAAATTATCATTAAAAAAAACTTAAACTTTGATTTTAATTATTTTTATTGTTTCTAAATGTTTACCTTACTATCCAGGCTGATTTGACTGATGAGAGTTGATTCCTTCTCGATTTGAGATCTTGACATAGAAGCAGTTGAAGCAAATGTTGCTCGTCTTTCTGATGAATTTCTGATCTCCTCGCTCTGCTGAGCACGCTTCCTGCTATGGCTGAGAGCCACCAACATGGCGATTGTGTCGGTTGTGAAGCAGACGATCTAGTATTAAAAATTGTTCTAGATTATCATCACAAGTTTAAAGGGAGTGACCGGATATGTAAGGTATTTGAACTTAGTATGCAGTGTTGTGGAAAACTTCTTTCGGATTCATTTGAGACATATTAAACTTTTTAAAGATCTGTAAATCCTGAGTTCGACGTTCAAAACTCCTATTTTACCGTAAACGGAAAAAATTAAATAATGAAACTATAAAAATTTTAAAAAATATTCTGCTCTGGTATTTCAAAATATAACGATTACAACATTGAAAAATTCTAATATTAATATTATTGTTTCTTACAATTTAAGTAAACAGAAAAATGCGGTAAATATCGTATTTATAATGGAGGAAACACATTTTTAAAATTTCATTATTTAAAAAGATAATGTGAAAACAATTTCTAGAATAACGTAAGGATGGTTTATGTTCCAAAACGCGTTCAAGGTTCGATATATGCGATAATGGAAAACCTTGAATTGTTTTGAAAATGGTTTTTATTAAAAATAAACGACAGCTTACAGTTTTAATTTTAGAAAAGAAGTAACTAGTGTTATTTTTGTTCTTGTCGTGCTTTATAATAATGTAGGAAATAGTTTCTTTAAATGATATTTGGTCTCGGCACAGAAAAAGTTTGTAAAACGTCTATCATAGTATTTGTGCCCAAACCTGACACTCAGTGTCAGGTTTGGAACATAGGTACGTTATGTAAATTTCTACCCCTGATATAACAACAGCAGAGCTATATTTATATAGCACAGATTGTGCGACATAGTGTATGAATCAAGTTCAATAATGCGTATAGATGATGCAGGAACCGAGTTTAAACCAAGAAGATTATCTGAATTGTACTGAAAGAAGGGGTTGGATAATATACTTCAGTCCCGCATATCATCTAGCGGAATTCACATACACTTTATATTCGGCATTGTTTTTTATCAATTGGAATAAAATATACAATAATAATAGTATCTTTAGTTGTACTAGTTGTTCTGGTTATGCATTTAGGTACCTTCCCACCTACCAGACTTTCGTCCGGTATAATAGCTAACTGTAATATTAACGTTGAATGCAATAGGGGGTTTTATTACAGTATATAAGAACTTTACTTCGCAAAGAGCACTTGGTATTCAAATTGAATTATACTTATACTATACTTACAACGATAGTTCAAATTTTGATTACCACTTACCAGTAAGCAAGCAAATGGAAGTGTGAGAAAGTACATGTACTGCCTGGTGGAGGTCAAATAGAAATGATCCATTGCATGACTACCAAGATTGTCTGGTATTATTCCACACACAAACGCTAAAGTACATTTTATCGTCAGTAAATCTAACATTTTGTTCTTAATTTTGAAAACTATTGAAAACAGTTCTAAACTTTAAACATTCTATTTGAAATCATTAAGATATTGTTAAAATTATCTTACAAACTTTGGAATTGAGTCTTTGCCACAAACTCTGTTTTTCTAATCCCTATATCTTCACAACCAAATGGCATAGACCTGAGATATGTCAAACTATGAACCCTGGTGGACTAAAGAATCTAAGTTTGAAATATTAAAAGTTTACGCCATAAGGTTACAAAGATAAAGGGATTCGAACTTTTGAGTCTGTGACAAAGGCTCAATTCCTTAGTAAATTATTATCTTCACATCCATCAATGTCAATCCCATTTTCTGTCTCATATTTGTCAGCAAAAAAAAACAATTTTCAATATTTGTATCCAATTTATCAGCAAAATACATATTTATCAATGACTGTTTAAAAATATTCAAGAAAAGAAACAATTATAATTTTCATTGTGCATGACCCTGTTCATATTTATAAATAGGATTATTATTTATTAACATTTGTATGAGAATAATCAGATAAAGAAAAAAATGTTGTCTTTTGTTTACAATTTCTCTCATAGCTGAGTTCTTTAGTCCTGCAATTTGGAACTCTTTGATTAGCGTAATAAATCAGATGGAAATTTTGAATAGGTTTATCAAATGCTTAGTTTCTTAGAAGAAAATTTTCCAATCTCTTTTTGATTTGATTCTCTGATAGGAAATTCCAAATTTTTCTTTTTTTGAACTCAGAGAGCTTTACATCAGAATATATGGTGGGAATAGAAAAACTACTTTTAAACTCAAGTTATGAATTTGAATAGTCCATTGAACATGAAACACAAAAATTGTGCAATGTAAACAGCCCCATTTAGCTTAATATGTGATTTTATAATTTATTAGTAAAACTAACTGCTTTTAAAAACATTAAAAGCACTTAATTATTGCTGTAAAGTCGTCTTTTTATTCTACAGTTTTCTGGTTCTAACTGTAATAATCTATTTCTGATTCTACTGATTGGGTAAAATTAATACAGAAACCAAATATGCTTTTATCTTTTTAGACAGAATAATCACATTTGATTTCTTTCTTTCTTTTTTCATATCGAATACAAGGAATTCAATCCCAACTTTGATCTTGCCACATGTAAACAGAAAATAGATTCTATAAATGGTAAGTTTTATTAATAAATTTAAAAACAAATAGGACGAATACTTTAATATTACTTTTGATATTTCAAACCTAGATTATTTAATCTAATCGACTTAATAGTTTAAAATATCTATAAGGTCTAAAACTTCGAGTTCCAAAGGTATAAAAATCAAAATTTGAGTTGCATCCTCTTTATTTATTCCAAACATCTAGAATGAAAAAAATAAAAATATTGCTACCCACGGTGGCGAGCATCAAGGAGAGGATGATGGCCATGAAGCTGATGAACCTCGCCTTGTTGGCAGTAGCATGGATATGGTACTGCAGGGGGGAGATGATCGCAACAAACCTGTACAACATTGATTATTAAATAGTCTCAACATTGTATTGATCAGAACATAGTTCAATGTCGGTAAAAATGCCGTGATAGAATGGTGTCTTTAATTGAGCCACAAACTCAGATTTTGATGCTGTAAGCATTAATCATTTCTGGCAAATTTTCTCATTAAACGCAAAAAATACTGCTAAAATTGTTAACGATAAATTCTTGATTATATTCGGATTCAGCCAATACCCCCTTGCAGTTTTTGGGAACGCATCCTTTTAAAAACCAGGCTCGAACATGTATCTCCTTTTTGTTGGCAAAAACGATATCTTACAAAAAATATCTATGGCAAAAACTTGAAATATGAATGGAAATATCAGGGGAAATATATTTTCAAACCCATTATCGTCCTAAATATCAAAGTGTGTGTAAGGGGAAATATTTCTTAGGTACCAAAGTGACTGGAAATATATCCACAGTATCAAGTATGTATTAGTGGAAATATATCGTAATATTAAGTATGTGTCAGTTGAAATATATCCACAGTATCAAGTATGTGTCAGTGGAAATATATCCACAGTATCAAGTATGTGTCAGGGTAAATATATCCACAGTATCAAGTATGTGTCCGTGGAAATATATCCACAGTATCAAGTAAGTGTCAGGGTAAATATATCCACAGTATCAAGTATGTGTCAGTGGAAATATATCCACAGTATCAAGTGTGTGTCAGTGGAAATATATCCACAGTATCAAGTATGTGTCAGTAGAAATATATCCACAGTATTAAGTATGTGTCAGGGTAAATATATCCACAGTATCAAGCATGTGTCAGTGGAAATATATCTACAGTATCAAGTATGTGTCAGGGTAAATATATCCATAGTATCAAGTATGTGTCAGTGGAAATATATCCGCAGTATCAAGTAAGTGTCAGGGTAAATATATCCACAGTATCAAGTAAGTGTCAGGGTAAATATATCCACAGTATCAAGTAAGTGTCAGTGGAAATATATCCACAGTATCAAGTATGTGTCAGTTAAATATATCTACAGTATCAAGTATGTATCAGTGGAAATATATCCACAGTATCAAGTGTGTGTCAGTGGAAATATATCCACAATATCAAGTATTTGTCAGTGGAAATATATCCACAGTATCAAGTAAGTGTCAGGGTAAATATATCTACAGTATCAAGTATGTGTCAGTGGAAATATATCCACAGTATTATTATGTTATTTGTCAGGGGGAATATGTTTCGAATCTAATAACCCTCCAGATTTGACAAGGTTTACCTGTCCAAGCTTGGTAGGATATCTGAGAGTAAAAGAAGGTATCGGTTAAATATCATCGTGTAGAAAACTAAAAAAAAACATGAACTTATATTCCATGAATAGATAAAAATTATACTTTTTTATATTATTATTTAATCTTTACTCTCGACAACTTAACGATGCTTGTAATAAAATTTAAAATTCGGAAATATATTTATTTATCTCCCTACACAATAGTATAATTTTCAGCACAGATTTATATAAAACGTTCAAAAATAGATGATTTTTTAAAGAAATTTAATTTTTCACAAATTCTGAACGTCTAATTCCCATATCTTTTCAACCCGATGTCGTAGACCTTTGATTTTTCAACCCATGACATCTGTTTGCTCAAATGGACTGATATCAAAATATCGATGGTTTACATCACCAGCTGTTGCAAAGATATAGATATTTGAACATTTGAATTTGTGTCAAAAATGCTGTTTATTTGCGATTGAATAGAAAGTATCCAGAAAATGTCAGGTTCTTTCATTTCGTCTTAATATCTGTATTTGAAATATACATTGAAGCTCTTTAATTAGTCGTTTTAATTAAATGAATTTTTAGATGAAACCACTTTGAGAAAATAATTGTTTTTATGTGGTTTTTACGCATTCTTGTTTTCAGGTTGAACACACGCATTCAAACCCTAACTTTAACTCGAACCTGAGATCAGCAAAGTTAGACATTTTTAAACCCAACATCGGTTTTGCCTCAAAAAAGAGATCTGATTTCAGAACTTTTGTTGTGAAAAATAAGCATCAAGTGATCTCTATCTCATGCAGACCTTTGATATACCCTGCAGGGAAAACTTTCATTAAGGGATCCTCAGGTAATCTCAAGTTTAAAAGCGCCACTTTGGATATTGGGATCAAGTGTTCTGAATTTTCGATACTCCGCACAAAAGTTTCAGTCTCATAGATACGGTGGTAGGCGATTATATTAAATTAATGAAGACGACTTTCGAATTTTATTTTTATTTATATCAAGCTTTTAACAGAATGAATACCAAAAACATGCAAACTTAGAAAAGCTGTCAATTTAGAAAGCTTCTCTTTAATTAATTGTAAACTTCTAATTCGAAAAAAAGCCTGGTAACAATTATAACTTAAATAAAAAGTCGTTTTCATTCTATTGATATAGTCGCCCACCACCGTATTATTTCTCAGATTTAAATGTGATTTTTTTAGTTTAAAAAGAATTACTGAAATGAGTTTGACCTGATCGAGGGCAGAAATCGATGATTCTAGAACTTGTGAATCCGAAGCAGATCCCGTACAGACCAACACACACACTTCAAATATTCATTTAAGATTATTAAAAAAAGAAACGGTCAGCGTAATTTCAAGTAACCCTCCATGCAAAGATGGGATCATCCGATACCCAACGGAACCCTTAAAAGTTTTGTCTGATCAAGATAAATTAAAAAATCCATGTTTTCGACTTTATCACATTCATTTTGATTTGCGGGATTTCTGCAAAAAAGACTTGCGCATTTCTTGCCATTAAGAAGCAATGAAGAAAATAACAAAACACTTTTCGAGTCAGAAAAACGGAGATTAAGGTTTCAATTGTACAGTTGTTAATAAAATTGCCATCTTTCCATGGAGGTTCACTTGAAATTAAGCTGTCAATCCCTTTATTACGTAGAGTAATTTTTTACAATGAACATGCATTTTTAAAAATCTAATCTTTTGTTGGAATTTTCAAGACTAATAAGAACTTTCCTTCACGGATATATAAACACAAATCAGTGTTTGCAGTGTGCACTGTACATCCAGTTAATTTTAGCATATTTATTTTTGAGTTTAATACATTTAAATAACAGGGATTTCCATAACGTGAATGGGGATTATTATAAGTTTGATAATAACCAATAACCATGGTAAATGTTAAAATTGATTTAGTAACTAATAAAAAGTGAGAATTACTTGAACTTGGTTGGAATTAAATCCCTAGTGCACACACTTGATCTCAGTAGATTACATCTGTGCCTATTTCAACCCAGGAGGCAGGTCACACTTTAAGAAAATTACACCAACACTTATATCTGTGTTATCTATTTAATAAAGCTCTTCGCTCATATATATTATTTGGATATATTATTTGTATGATGTATATGTATGTATATATGTTAGCTATAGGTGGCCAAACGGATGGACCAAATTGGCTGAAATCTTTTCAGGGAACCAATGAACCCTGGGAGTAACAAAGGCTAAAAAAATCTTCGTGTTTATAAATTTCACTGGCACTCTGGCTAGTCATCATTTAAAATCATTGCTGTATTTCATGCTGATGCGGGTATACCTGATCAAGGATGAGAGAAGACTAAGTGCTTGGAAGATGTGCCGAGGTTTATGTAGTTTCTTGTTCACCAGTACTGCAAAGATGACCGCTAGGCTAAGCAGGGAACCAAATATTATCCAAGGGGTGGATAGTATCATCAGCACTCTTTCCTCCAACTAATAAACAAGATTGCACACTTACATGGTTACCCAAAAAGGATGAGATTTGGCCGAATTTTTTAAAAGGGACTGTAATCGTAATTTCAGGTGAGCTTCAATTTATTGAGTGACATGTCCGATTTATAATCTTACAGCGATATCCTTTAAAGCTTTGATTGATCAAGGGTTAAGTGCCAATTTTGAAACCACGCAAGTTTACACTAGCACGGAGCGTACAGTGTACAGTGTTACCTCTAGTCTCCCGGCTCTAGGCTTTGCAGCGAAAAGAAACAATTATTTTTCGTGAAAAAAACTTTTAGCGAAATTTCGCTTTAATCTGTTTCGTGAAAAAAGGCGAAATTTTCGCGAAATAAGAAATGCGAAAATTTCGCGAAAAAATGCAAAATTTCGCGAAAAAATTGCGAAACGTTTCGTTTGCTGCAAACCCCACCCGGCACTCAATCTTCAGCTATGCAAATGAGGGTATACGCTGTCAGGACAAAGGTTTAAAGGGTATCGTTTTAAATCCAACATGCCTCGTTTTTAAATGGAAGGTCACCTGAAATTACTTGAACAGTCCCTTTAAGGATGCCCTACATGTAGTTTTACTTGAAATGTTTCTTTACAAATCATCAAATGTAATTTACCATTTAAAGATTATATTCAAGGCAGAACAATAAACCTTAATCTTTAGCTTTTTGATTATGAAGATAAGTCTCATCCTTTGTGGGTAACCCTGAACAAATTAATTAACCCAGCTAATTTAAGGCATTTGAATATAAGGTCGTCATTAAAATCTCATCCCTGTGATTATAGTCCTGAACTAAAGTTAAATGTCCTATCCTCTCTCTCCTTTGTTTTCTTTATCGCTCTCATGTTTGAAATTATCACACCGGATGTTCTTAAAGGAAAACAATGTTGGAAGGCGGTGTCATTTAAATCTGAAATTGTGAATAAAATAATGAAGGAAGAATATGGATGGCGTGAAATTAACGTACTTTTTTGTAAGTTGCAAACGCTTCCAAGCGTTTGAGTTTTTAACAATTTGTTTAGTTTATTGGTTGAATTTAAATAATCTAGAAGCTATTGTAATGTTAGGACAATGTTTCATTCTTTACTCTATAGAGAAATATTATTCCAAGATTTATTTTCAATTCAAATTCTAAAAAATCAAAGAATAGGATTTTAGTAAATTTTATTTAAAAAGTTTAACCTGTGAAGTGTCCCTGGACATTTTGTCTAAAAATAGAAAAATTTATTTTTATTATTTGTCTGAAAACTTCATAACAATTCGTTATTATTAAAAAGAAGTTTTTTATTATTATAAAATTATATTTACGCCATTAACTCCTTTCGATTGAAAAATATATTTAGAAAAAGTAATGAAAAGAAAGATAATCTTTGTTGCAAATCAAATTACTGAACAAATCTAATGTATTCTCAGTAAAAGCCCCAACACTTCATTATATGTCACAAGCTAATTTTTTTCTCTTTTATTTTCATATATGGTAAAATTCTTTTATTTTTTCACAAAACAATGTGGCACAATTTGATTTTTAATTTTTATAAAACATTACACATTACCTTTTTTAAATTAATTTACTGTGGAATAAATTTTTTTATAAATCTTATTAAAAAATATGTTTTTTTTCTGAACATTTTGAAATGCGCAATATTACATCCACCTAGTGTATCTATATATTCTATCTTCCGACCTTAATTGACCTAATTGACCAAGAATAACCTAGGAGCTGGTGCGCAGTAATTGTCGGAATGAAAAAAAAGGATTTTTTTTTTTAATCTAAGAAAAGCTTTTAATGAAATTTCATATCAATGAAATTTCCTCTGTGAATTGTTTTGTCTTTGAAATACCCTGTCTACAAAATGTCCTGTCATGAAATTTCATTTTATGACTTCAAAATTTTTGGTCTATGAAATGTGCCAGCCATCATCCACGAACATAAAATGCAAAGATCGAGAAATCTTTGGTAAAAGCTATAAAACTATTTTGCATGATTCAGCTATTTTTTTATTATAAAAATGTTTTTGTACTTTAAGATGAAAGCTAATTACAACCAGTAATGAAGTTGAAACTTATCAGGTTTCTTGCAACTTTGAATTAGTTTCAGTTGCAGTGTTCGTAAATGTTATAAATTTCAACTTGAAAACTTGAAAACTTGAAAACTTGAAAACTTGAAAACTTGAAAACTTGAAAACTTAAAAACTTGACAACTTGAAAACTTGAAAACTTGAAAACTTGAAAACTTGAAAACTTAAAAAATTGAAAACTTGAAAACTTGAAAACTTGAAAACTTTAAAAGTAAAGTGAAAATTTTAGCTTTAACTGTTCTTTATTAAGCCAATAATTTTTGAACTGTACTCAAATATACAAAAATGTTCGCGAATTTTTCTGTTTACCTAATTCATGGATTTTCAAAAAGTTGACATTTTTTTCCAGACAGAATTTTTCAATTTCGGTCAGCCATAAACATAACAAATTTTGGCTCCGATTGGACAACTTTATAACAGTTATTGGACACAACCAACACCAAAACAATCAGACAAATCAAATATTTAATGAGATGTAATGGAAAATAAATCTTTGCTCCCAGGCCCCAGATAGAGCCCAAAACATGAGACAGGGATAAAAGTTGAAAACCGGCTTTCACAAACGGGGTATAAGGCAATTTTGTAGATATCTCAATATTTTTGCTAAGAAATATTATTGTACATGGTTGTTTCTTATTTTCTCTTGTTCCTATTTCTTATATTATAAATCTAAACAAATGTAAAGACTCCAAAAAGAAAACTCTATTTCTTCGAATCAATATTCGTCTAGAAATGTTTAAAACATTTTCAAAATAAAAAAGTGTAATTGTACAAAAACTAATCTGCCCAACCAAACAAAATTGATTTTGTTTAAATCAACTGAAAGTGTAGTTAGTTTATTTAATTGTTTTTGAAAAATACATTTTTATAAAAAAACTTGCAGTTTCCTAATTCTGGTACAATAAGGAAATATTTTTGGTTCTAAATGTAGTAAAAAGATTTTTTACCCTTTTTTTAAACCCTTAAAAGGCTGAAGAGTTGGGACAAATTGTGCATCATTTATATTATTTTTCTTCATGTTTTATTTTTACTTTTTAGAGGTTTTACAAGAATCTGAGATATTTTAACATTTAACAGAGCCAAGAGAATTTAAAAGAAAAACGATCAATGAAACGATTTAAACATTCGTTTTCATTTGTTAGTTTCGCATAGCGAGATTAAATATGGCAAAACGAATAAGAAATGTTATAGAGCCAATGCAAACTGTACACAACTAGAAGTTCAAATTCACGCGATGTTACTTGTACGGCTTTGAGACCTCGTTGCTCCTCTAGTTTTGATTTTTTTTTGCACAAGACACGCAAGTATAATGGATATAAATCAGGGTGTCCCAAAACCCCGAAGTGGTAGCTTGAATCTTAATTGTGTACCAATATCGACATTTTGATTGAGCACTCTATCAGTCTCTTAGAAAATTCTATTAAGTTTTGGATTTCCACAGATGCAACATGGTTAGACCCCCAGACTAAGTAACTTGGACCAGCTAGAACAAAACATTAGAAGAGAGGCTGCCTTCAACTCTACAGATAAAAAATAAAAAAGATAAAAATGCCTTCTTCTGGATGTCAGAGGCAGAGCATTAAAGTGCCTAACCAAAACTGGTGGCCATATTGAGTAATTTTACAGGGAAGTTAAGGGAATTTTACTTTACCCAGAGACCGAATTTTAAAAATTTGAGCGGCGGCTTAAATTTAAGCCGCGGCTCAAATATGGTTGGTTTCACTTAAAAATGTTTCAAGATTTAGGCCGGCGCTCAATTGAAACTGGTTTTTGGCGGATTTAAGACGCGGCTTAAATTCATTAAATTCGGACACTGGGTTCCCAATTTGGTCGAGGGAACCCGTGGTAAATTATAAATTTTATCGTCTTATTAGATGAAAATGGGCGAATTGTTATTCTATTTTATTGTCCCAAGGGACTTTAAGTAATTTAAAGTCTCTTTGTTGGGGGATTTCTAGGTCGGTAATGTTGGTCAAAAAATGGTTAAACATTAAATTTCAGGAATTCCAATACTTTAAACCTGAATAAAATTTGCTAGAAGAATGATTGAAGGCTCAAGATTACAACATTTATCAAAATTACAAGTGTCCAAGAAGTCTACTAATGTTTATGAAAAAAAGGTGCAAAGTGTCCAAGAAGTCTACTAATGTTTTTTAAAAAAGGTGCAAAGTGTCCAAGAAGTCTACTTATATTTATGAAAAAAGGTGCAAAGTGTCCAAGAAGTCTACTGATGTTTATGAAAAAAAGATGCAAAGCGTCCAAGAAGTCTACTTATGTTTATGAAAAAAAGATGCAAAGTGTCCAAGAAGTCTACTTATGTTTATGAAAAAAAGGTGCAAAGTGTCCAAGAAGTCTACTAATGTTTATGAAAAAAAGATGCAAAGCGTCAAAGAAGTCTACTGATGTTTATGAAAAATAGATACAAAGTGTCCAAGAAGTCTCCTGATGTTTATAAAAAAATCGATGCAAAGCGTCCAAGAAGTCTACTGATATTTATGAAAAAAAAAGATGCAAAGCGTCCAAGAAGTCTACTGATGTTTATGAAAAAGAGATACAAAGCGTCCAAGAAGTCTACTGATGTTTATAAAAAAATCGATGCAAAGCGTCCATGAAGAAGTCTACTGATGTTTATGAAAGAGAGGTGCGAAGCGTTGAAGAAGACTACTGCAGTGTTGAAGAAAGAGATGGGACTCCTCAGATTATTCTCTTCCAGTAGAATTTATATACCTCCCCTTGCTCTCTCTACTCTCTATTTCTCCTCAATATAATCACTGTTTTTACGTAAAATTTTTTTTTCATATGAACAATATTTTACGTAAAATTGGATCAAATACTCAAAGGTATCCTAAAGTTTAATTACTTTTAAACTTTAAATTAAAGACTATACATACAAATGGTATTTGATAAAAAAAAACCGAATTCATCTTGTTCAATCATAAAAAGGCAAGTTTGTTTTTACTTATAGCGCTCTGATTTTTAGTACAATCTAAAAGGTTTAACGGTTGTCAAAAATGGATTTTTTTATATTTTCATGACTTACTTTTTAAAATTGTATTACACCTCTGATAACCTTAATAAATAAACTAAAAACTCCTGAAGTTTTCAAAGATGAGATCGCATTTAAAACTTGGCCTGTCCACAATGCATATGCACCTTCATAACCTTCAACAGACCTTTAATTAGATATACTTATTTTAAGAACCACCGGTTTAAACAATATTATTGTTTTTTCAAAAATACATGCATGTGTTTGCTACATTTTTATGTCAAAATATAATTTGAGCTTAAAATTGAATGCTTAAAGTTAAAATATAGAATGATATAACAAGTGCGCGAAAAGATATAAAAAGGCCATTTGTTCATTTTTCTTCGCGGCTGGACGACTAGAAAAAGGTCTACCGCATCAAAGGAACTGAACAATAAATTCTAATTTTCTAATTTTCTAATTATCACTTCACAACCCGATTGTGTAAACCGTTGATATTTCAAACTTGGGCCTTTAAAAATAACAGAATTTATAGTTTGAAATATCAAAGGTCTATGAGAACTGAGATGGAATTTAAAGAATTTGAGCCGCGGTTTAAATCTGCCAAACCCCGGTTTAAATTAAGCGCCGGCTTAAATCTTGAAACATTTGATACAATTTTTAGTGGAACCAACCATATTTAAGCCGCGGCTATAATTTAAACCGCCGCTCAATTTTTTTTAAGTCGGCCACTGGCTGCAAAGAAATTGAGATTAGAAAAATAGAATTTGTGGCGAGTGTTCCGTTTCTTTATAATTTATTTAGTCCGAAATAAAATGTTTTAAGACTAGGGTTTCTACTCGCAAAATTTTAGCGAAAGAAAGCGCAAATTTGTGCTTTCGTTGCGTTACATTGGCGCGAAATAATGGCACTTTGCGCAATCAATTCGCAAGCTTAATTTCGTGTAAAATTGCGTTATTCCACTTTTGCATAATTCTGTTTTACGTTGGGTTTTCAAATTTTGTTCAATCTCTTTCAAGAAAATTTCGTTCAGCCAACGAAAATGTGAACGAAAACGAAAATTTTTGTTTATTTTCGCAAAAGTCGATCGAAATTTTTACGAAATTCGCAATATACGTTCGAAAATTTCGACCTTTCCTGCAAAATCTTATTTTATTCGCAAAAATACACTCTTGTTGATGTGAAATGGAAAAATTTCGATTTTTAACGGACCAAAATTGAACGAAAATTTCGCTGAAGAAAGGTCGAGAATACATCGAAATCCGCGAAAATGTTGAACGAAAATGAACGAATTTCGTTCGTTCAATTTGGCGAATTTGGTTCAACGAAAATTTCTATGGAACTTCTATTTGCGCTATTTTGCCTAACAAATTCTCATTTAAAGATTGATTTAAGGTGTAAATTATAGAAATTTGTTATCAAGAAAATTGTACTTTTTTTGCATATAACTAAAAGTAACCAATTGAGAGTAGCATATGTCAATTTTTGAAATAGATCTTTTGTTGTTTGATTCTGTTGATGTTGATCAATTTACTTAAAAATATCATGTTTTGCGTAAATATTTACGTTTTGTGCAATACTTCAGGTTTGGCGCAAATTACGAAAAAACAGCGGTCAGAAAACATGCAGGTTCTTTCTTTTCTTTCTTTCAAATATTCATTACCTTATCTTGCTAAAAAAAAAATTGGAATAAATTTTCAGAAAAACTCAGATTCTTTAGCGAATTTTTTTTTAAACGATAGCTTTTAGTTTTTTGAAATATCAAGACGATTGGTTCGTTTTAAAAAAGATAGTTTTTTCTAAAAACGAAACGATCGCTTTTAGAAAAAAAAGAAGAACGAAACGAAAAACTATCGTTTTTTTGATCGTTTTTGTAAACGATTAGCAACCCTATTCTTGAGGAAGCCACTGCGCTTGTTTTAGTTTGGACACTGCTCATTAACTTGTAGGGGGGGGGGGGCGCAGGGGATTAGTTCCTTCTAAATTTGTAGATTTCTGGAAAACTTTGTTTTGCAATGTTTTTAATTTAATGAAGTTCTATAATTATCCGGTTCCAAGAAATAACATAAAAACTCTGCTCACTCTAGTTTTCAAGAAATTCTACAGTTCTGTTTAAAACTATGGGTTTTAAAGAAGAAAACTGGGAAAAGGGTCAGCTAGGAAATAAATACAATACATCTTTGTTACGCAAAGTCAGTAAAAGATACTGGGCAGTGTTTCCAAACCTATTTATTTTATAATTGTTTTTATTCCACATTTTAAATTGTTCTTTAAAAATTGTTAAAGATTGATGATTCCAATTTGAAATTATGCATGTTACATATTTTCCGATTATTTGTTATTAAAAAAAATTTTAGAAAAATTCTTTATTTCGAATTGAACGCTTTTTGGGACAGTCCACCAAATTTTCAAAAACCCTGGTTTTTTGGCGGAGACACTTTGAAGATATTTTTGTATATTTGAAAAGGTCAGGGTTTTTAGGGACTTTAAACTTAAAATCAAGTGACCCATCATTTTTCTTCTATGCATTGTTTATTGAATATAGCTAAGGATGTTTTTACTATCAAGTCCCTTTTTTCCATGGTTGTAAAGATCCTTTGTCCCCCTGCATTTTCCACTATAAAAGGATTTTTTTCCGGAGACTTTTTTGTATAAATTCATACTGGAAGCAGAACAAAAGTCCTAGAACAAAAGTCTTAGATGGTAGGACTTTATTTTCAGAGATTTCTTATTTTAAGGACCGTTTTAGTACCCAAATTGAGAACTTTTTTTCAGAAAACTTTTTTTTCTGAGAACATTTGTCGGATAACAAATTGACAGCTTTTAAAGGAACAAAAATGTTGATATCTTTTTCGTACTTGATCCGACAAAGCTTTACATCGTACCGTTGTAAATCAGGCATTTGCATCTTTTCTTTGAGAATCACTTGCAATTACGCTTACAGTCCCTTTATGGAAGGAGATCAATGTGAATAATTAAGATGAAATACATGCTATATTGGTTTCTGGACTTCCACACAAATCTGAGTTTTTGCCACAAACTTTTTCTTTCTTTTCCTCCCAATGTAGTAGACCTTTAATATTTCAAAATAAGAATCCACTTTGATCAAATAGTTTAAGTTTGAAATATTTAAGATTTACACCATCAGGTTGCCAAGATATAGAAAAAAACTCGGCTTCTTTCAAAATTGTTTAGTATTAACATTTGCATTCCTTGCACTTCTTAAATTTTTGACCCGAGAGAAAATATTTGTTTTTGATTCGTTATTTAAAGATATTTTTTCTGATAGACAATGCTTAATTATTATTATCATTTCTAAAACTGTATTTTATAAGTTTGAAATATATTCATATTTGCAACTACATGTTTCTCTGGTATATAGTAGTTCATCGAACAAGCGATCCTCCATGATTATTCTCGAACAATAGTAATTTAGATACAACATTGAGATCAGAGCTCTTGGGAAATAATAATAAATGTCAATGTGCGCATTTAAATTAGTTGTACGTCTTGTTTTTCAAAACGGGGGCTTGTGTCTTAATGATTTAGAAAATTGGATAAACGTTCAAATTTCTTTAAATCTACGTCAATTTTAAAGATAAGCAAACTATACATTTCAGACTCCCAAGACTAAAAGAGTCCGTCGGTAAATGTTTAATGGGAATATACTAATACAATTTGTTCCGGTGAAATGCCGCATGAATTCCATGGATTAATGTCAGTAGGAAATTAAAGGCGTTAAAGTAGGGCCCTTGGGCTTCGTGACACTTCTTAAGGGACTGTACAGTACATTAAGTGATCCTCCATGCAAAAAATTAGATTAAATTCTCATTAGAACAGATTACTCCTAGATCAAAAGGTTTATAGATCAGATTCCTGAACAGGCATTGCCTGATTTACAACGGTCTGATCAAAAATGTGGAAATTTCGTCGTTTTTCTGACTCGGAAAAGTGTTAATTTCTGGTAATTTCTTCAGTGTTTCTTTTAAACAAGAGATATTCGTTACTTTTGCATAGTGTATATTCACAGTGTATGTATATTGTATATTGTATATTGTATAGTGTATAGTCACAGTGTATGTATATTGTATATTGTATATTGTATAGTGTATAGTCACAGTGTATGTATATTGTATATTGTATAGTGTATAGACACAGTGTATGTAAATTGTATATTGTATAGTGTATAGTCACAGTGTATTTATATTGTTTATTGTATAGTGTATAGTCACAGTGTATGTATATTGTATATTGTATAGTGTATAGTCACAGTGTATGTATGTTGTATATTGTATAATGTATAGTCACAGTGTATGTTCATCGTATGTTGTATAGTGTATAGTCACAGTGTATGTACATTGTATATTGTATATTGTATAGTCACAGTGTATGTACATTGTATATTGTATAATGTATAGTCACAGTGTATGTATATTGTAAATTGTATAGTGTATAGTCACAGTGTATGTACACTGTATATTGTATAGTGTATAGTCACAGTGTATGTATATTGTATATTGTGTGATGTATAGTCACAGTGTATGTATATTGTATATTGTATAGTGTATAGTAACAGTGTATGTATGTTGAATATTGTATAGTGTATAGACACAGTGTATGTATATTGTATATTGTATTATGTATAGTCACAGTGTATGTACATTGTATATTGTATAATGTATAGTCACATTGTATGTACATTGTATTCTGTATAATGTATAGTCACAGTGTATGTATATTGTATATTGTGTGATGTATAGTCACAGTGTATGTATATTGTATATTGTATATTGTATAGAGTATAGTCACAGTGTATGTATGTTGAATATTGTATAGTGTATAGACACAGTGTATGCATATTGTATATTTTATAATGTATAGTCACAGTGTATGTACGTTGTATATTGTATAATGTATAGTCACAGTGTATGTACATTGTATACTGTGTAATGTATAGTCACAGTGTATGTATATTGTATATTGTGTGATTTATAGTCACAGTGTATGTATATTGTATATTGTATAATGTATAGTCACAGTGTATGTACATTGTATATTGAATAATGTATAGTCACAGTGTATGTACATTGTATACTGTATAATGTATAGTCACAGTGTACGAATATATTGTATATTGTATATTTTATATTCACAGTATATGTATGTTGTATATTGTATAGTGTATAGTCACAGTGTATGTATATTGTATATTGTATATTCACAGTGTATGTATGTTGTATATTGTGTATGTATATTGTATATTGTATAATGTATAGTCACAGTTTATGTATGTAGTATCTTGTATAGTGTATATTCACAGTGTATGTATATTGTATATTGTATAGTGTATAGTCACAGTGTATGTAGTATATTGTATAGTGTATATTCACAGTGTATGTATATTGTATATTGTATAGTGTATAGTAACGTCGAAGAAAGAAAGAATGAGTGGAAAGCAAAGTGAAAATGAAAAGAAACATTGGAGAGTTGAGAATGAGAGTTGTGAGAAGAAAAGTGATGGAGGAAAAGGTAATGAAATTGGAAAGCAAAGTGAAACTGAAAAGAAGCATTGGAGAATTGAGAATGAGAGTGGTCAGAAGAAAAGTGATGAAGGAAAAGAAAATGAAATTGGAATAATGAAAAGCATGAAAGCAAAGTGTTTTGAAGGAGTTAAAAGAGTTGAAGCAAAAGGCAGAGATATCATAGATAAAAGATACCTAAGAAAAGACGAACTAAAGGAATGGAAAAAGAAAGATTTGTCGGAGGAACAGGGCAAGGAAACAGGATTAAACGGTGAGGGGCAGCAAGAGGAAAATAAGATAGAGAAATGGGAGGAGGAGGAATGGATGAAGGAGGAGCCTGAAGAGGAAGATTGGTACAAAGACCAGGAAGAGGAGAGTGTGATAGGAATTGAAAGATTGTATAGAGTCTGCTATGGGAAGGCAAGAGCAAGATATGTCAGAGTAGGGAAAGAAACAGGAGTATTGGAAGGAGCATGGAGGGGGAAATGGAACAGAAAACAAGAGAACCCTTCTCCTGCTTTGGATTGGATAGAGTGGGATCAGGAAGAGAAACATTGGATTGAGGAAATGGTGGGACGGGACGAGGAATATTGGATTAAGGAAGTAGAGGAAGAGAAAGAGGAAGTTTGGATAGGGGAGAAAGAGGAACAAGAAACAGGAGGAGAAAGCTTAGCTACAGAAAGCAAAGAAACAGAAAGATTAAAAATGTATGCTGTGGATGGATGCACAGGGAAAGGAATTACTAGATGTAAAGTAAGTGACAAAGCTCACAGTAGAATTAGAAATACTGATGAACCTGTGTGGAGAGTAAATGAATTACTGAGTAGTTTAGTGATCAATGAAAGAAAATACATAAACAGATCTTTTACACAATCCATGAATCAAGGTCTCCAGGTCATCAAGACTATTCAGGTAAATAAATTGTATGGAAACAGCTTAAGTAATGTTTTATTACTCAGCTTGTCTAGGAGCCATATTATAAAAGGGCCAGAGTTCTTAAGAGTCTACCACTGCAGATAACATTACCAATTGACATGATGACACAGAAGAAGATGTCAGTGGAGAAAGGACAACGCTGCCGAAGGTATGTAACGCTCATTTTTAAATCTTAAATGATCAATTTTAAAAAGAAGTGCAACTTTTTGGGGCCTTGTTATAGGGTGTCGCAGTCCCATGGTTTTAAATTTATTCATTTCAATTACATTCATAATTTGCAAATGTATACCTAACTTTCTGCTCTGATATAGTGATCATAGAAATTTTAAGGTTCCAAGTTCAAGCTTTAGAATCACAAAGGCGAAATATGGAAACTTACAGGCAAGAACACATTTTACATTATAACTACATACTGCATTTATAAATAATTTTTTTGCATTTTTCAAATCATATACTTAATAGTTATCGCATTAAGTGTAATGACTTAAAACAGAAAAAATTTAAAAAAGTTACAACAGATATTTTTTTTTTTAAATTCAGAACTGAAGTGAAGGTGCAGAGTTACTGGAGAACTGATATTGATGTTACCAAGTGGAAGTTTCAATCTAAACCTAAACAGGTGTCACAAATTAGCTAGTTTTTCAAATTAAAGAAAATTTGATTTTTTGCTCAATTGGATTAATCTGCAATAAAAAGTAATTTCATGAGTTTGAATAAATAATTCATATATTTAAAAACCCCCGGGGGAAAATATTAAAAGTTTTTTATCCCCCCCCCCACAAAACTTTCTTTGTTCAAATCATTTACAGGTTTNCTTTCCCCCCCCCTCACTTAAATCCTGTATCCGCCCCTGGATGCACGATTTTGAAAAATTAAGGAAAAGTTTTGAAGAAAACGCACAAACGCACGGAAAAAATTACATATAACCCTAATTTTGATTTTGGGGCAGTTTACACCAATACACCAGCTGCAGGTGCCTAATTTTTTGAAAATCATTCAGGAGTGTAATTCTTCAAAATTCTACACCTGCTATATATGCTGGAAACTCCCGATAATTTTTAGTACTGACCCGACTTTGAACCTGTAAGCTGTACAGTACATGTACAGACTATAGAGGGCAAAGCGGGACGGTACGCCAAATGAAAAAATCCCCATTCAGTAAAATGTATGTGGCTAGGATCTTGTTTGCAATCCTTGAGATTTTCTTTCAGCAGTTTATGCCTTTTTAATCAATATATTTTCAGACTAAGGAGAGAAAGATTCAATCAACTAATCCTACCATGGCACTGGCTCTTGGTTTAACCTCCCTATCAACTTCATCCGTAAGGCGAGAGAAACGAAAAACGCAAAAAGCATGCAAAAGAGAACGTAAAAAGGCATTAAAAAGAGAACAAAAAAAGGAATGCAAAACATATGGAAGGAATGAAATGCAGACCACATATGGCACATTTACAAGTAATCTTGAGAAAAGTAAAGTAAGCAGCAATGTTAAGGAAAATGCAACACTTCGGCAACATTTGAAACATATATACAAATTAGAATATACAACAATATACAACAAATTTCCACTTAAACAACCAGGGTTTTATTTCAGAAGTAACAAATCAATTTTTTAAACTTACCTGAGATCTTAAATCACTCCTTGATCACCAAGACACGCCCTTTTAGTAAGTTACTTGTTACTATTAATAACACAAGACAATTCTTAATTATTATTAATTATCATTGCTAAAACTGTATTTTATAAGTTTGAAATATATTCATATTTGCAACTACATGTTTCTCTGGTATATAGGAGTTCATCGAACAAGCGATCCTCCATGATTATTCTCGAACAATTGTAATTTAGATACAACATTGAGATCAGAGCTCTTGGGAAATAATAATAAATGTCAATATGTATTTTAATGTGGTTGTACGTCTTGTTTTTCAAAACGAAGGCTTGTGTCTTCAAGATTTAAAGACAAGCAAATGAAAAACTGTACATTTAAGACTCCCAAGTCTAAAAGAGTCGGTCGGTAACTGTAACAGATTAATTTTTGTTAAAAAGTGTAAAAGTTGACGAATGAATGCCGCAATTATTTCAAAGATCAATGACACAGAAGTAAAGAATGGGACCCGTAGGTTAAAAAGATAAAAACAATCGTCTAATAGCTGAATAATTTATTCTAAACATTTAGTTGATTATTATCACATAGACAATTTACACCACAATAATAGTCTTTAACATACAAAATTCTATATTAAGTATTTAGATTATGATTTTACACATTTGATTATCATTAATGATTGACAATCCCAAATTACAATCATGGCAAAACTGAGTTCAAAAACATTGAACAAGTATAAAAAATTAGCAATCTTAAAGAGACTGTAAGCGTAATTTCAAGTGAACCTTCATGCAAATATGGCACTGCCCGCCTAACAACGGTATCCTTAAAAACTTATCTGATTTGAAATATCAATGTCTTTAATTTTGAAAACTGATTATTGTCAACTGTGGTCACTTTACAAAAGAGACTTGCGCATATCTACCGCAGGAAATCATGTTTGCATTATCAGAATTAAACGCTTTTATCACTGAAAAAGACCATATCTACTCTAATTTGATCAGATAAAGGTTTCAAGGGTGCCGTTGCGATTTAAGCATGGTTTTCTTGGCATGGAGGGTCACTTGTAATCACACTTACAGTCCTTTAATATAAACACAACAAATATTAATTAAGGGAAATAATTAGACTCGTAAATAAATGAAAATGGAGGTTTTACAATATAAACACTTAATGTCTAGTTTTACTTAAATTCAAAATCAATTTTTTTTTTGATGTTATAACCAATATTAAATAAAAATTTAATTTAATTTAATACTTTATTAGACTTTGTAAACTGAATAAAATAGTATTAAAGAGACTGTTAGTGTAATTTGTAATGACCCTTCATAAAATGGCAATGCCCGATTCACAACGCTACCCTTAGATCTTTATCTGACCAGAAGTTCTGAAGATATTGTCTTTTTCCTGCAGTAGAAATGCGCAAGTTACTTTTGCAGAGAAACCCCTATTGAAAATAATCAGTATTCTAAATTATAAACATTGATGTCTATTTAATTAAAGTGTACCGTTGTGAATCGGGCATTACTAGCTGAGAACCGAGGGTCATTTGGAAGTACACTCCCAGTCCTTATCAGTATCTTAGTATGTACTAGTGCCAATATCCCTAAATATTATGCAGAAATTATTACTGTTAGAACATCTTTACTCAACTTTCGCTTACAAAATCAGGAGAAAAGGTTCAGAAGAAACAAAAAAAAGGATTTAATATATAAATATTTAAAATATATGCAATTCATTATTTATAAACACGAGGATTATACAGGGTTACCCACAAAGAAAGTGACTGTAAAGACGACCACACACTCTTAAAATGTGACGATCCCAAGGTTAAATTAAATATTCGGCCTTAACTACAGTAATCTAATGGCATATTTAATGATTTGGCAAAGAAAGAAACAAGTTAACAGTTGAAGGGAATCATGAATATGAGAAAACAGACCATTTAAATTCCGTACAATCGTCTCTGAAGTCTCATCCTTTGTGGGTAACCCTGTATTATCGACTGAAAAAATATGTATTCATTGGAATTGAAAATTTCTGATTGATATGGAAAAAGCGCGGGAAATGCACATGTTGGAGAAATTACACAAAACAAAATACGGAGAACCAAATTATTGCATCGTCTTTGCTCCGATTTATACGTAAATCATTTATGTTAATAAGTACAAAGAATAATTATCACATTGATTGTTACAAGGAGGGGCGTACACAAGAATAGGGGCTTTAGGTGCTGGGCCCACTGGAAAGCTCCCCTTAAAAAATCCCTGTATACGCCCCTGGTTACAGTACATGCATTACCAGGATACGAACAACATTGACGGCCGGAATTTAATACTTTCTCAGGAGTGTGTAAGTAATATTCCCCCCCCCCCACCCCCCATAATAAGGGTGGGGAATCTTCCCATGATCTTGGGAAGAGACTGAAATATTGGAGTTCAACTGGGTCAGAGGCCAGACACTTTTAAAAACGACTTGAAAATGTTTTTTTCTTGAAAAAATTTCATTGACCGTTTCTTTTCTTCATAAACTAGGTATTTTCCATGCAAAAGAATCTAAATTCGATTATTGGACGATTAGTAAGTCACATATATCCTTTTAAATTTCAAACATCTATCCAAAAAACATATTTGAAACTCGATTCTCAAAAAGAATCAAATTATCAAGTGGGAAGCTTCATTCTCAGTGTGCATAACACTCATAAGAGTAAAGGGGATTTAACATATATAAATGGCAACTTATTACAATTTTACGTATCAGAAAATATGATATGATCAAATATAATTATGGATAAAAATACATCTGAAGGAATTTTCTAAATACTGGGTTACACAGATTATAGAGTTGAGGACAAAGAGGACGTGTAAGATAATTAGAAGGAAGAAGAGGATGAAAAGGATGAAGAGGATGTTTGAAATTACAAAGACAAATTCGAGGACTTTATTGATGATTAGACGGAAGGAGAGAATGCAGATGGATGGAAAGTATGAAAAGTATGTTTAAGATGACAACAAAGATAAATTTCAAGGACGTTAAAGTTGATTAGAAGGAAAGAGAGAATAAGAGATGATGAAAATTATGTTTAAAGGGAGTGTTCGCACATAAAATTAATTTAAGAAAGAAATATGGCGGATTATATTTAAAAGGTGAGTGTTCGTAAATATTTAAATGAATCTCTCATACAATATCTATAAATNATATAACTACAAAAACGAGAATCATCATTGATATAGATAACAAATGGAAAAAAGAGATTTAAAAATACCTATCGGAAGGATGCTCCAGATTTCCTGTGACAAACTTGAAGGATTCAAGTTCTAAAGGCGGCTAAACAATCATTACATTAATCAAATCAGAGTTAAAAAATGTTAAAATACGTAATCGAAACTTTTTTCAGTAATCAATCATTTGAGCAATAATCCCATAAATTGATTAATATATCAGTCCATACATTAATCCATCAGTTCATTACATCCATCATTCCATCATTAGATTGATTCAATGGTTTATCAAAAAATCGATAAATGTAATCCTCAAATGCCTCAACCAAGCAATCAATCAATCTCTCAATTCATAAATTAATGAAAGAATCATGACTCTGTGACAACATATATTACCTGGAATTGGAAGATTATCTGATCCCCGGGTTGAGGTACTAAACCCCAGAAGAAAGTATCACCCTTGTATGCCCGCTCAATACTGTAGTGTTTGTAATGTTTGATTGGAGATTCTAAAATCAAATAATCAATTAATCAACAAATCAATAATAGACCATAAGCAACCATCTTTCTTGTCGTCAACAATTAGATGAACTAACCTATCATCAACATTAGATGATGAGGGTGAGACCCAAAACTATATAAATAATTACCTATTTTTGCTGGCGGATTCTTATGTGGCGTAAACAGCTGTACTCGTCCAAATTGTCGATCCTTCAACTTCTGAACTTTACCCTTTAAAAAATACAGTATTAAAAACAGGGGAGAAACAGTGAAACAGTGAAGAACCTTGATATTTTTAATTGGGTAACTGATTTGAACCACAGGAGTGTTCTTAGCTTTGCTTACAAATGCTAAGCGGGGTGTGTTAACTCATATCACGAAAATTAAATTCCTAGGCAAATTGGTCTGATTGTATGCATCTGATTGGACTAAACTTTAAAAAATTCTAAATAATTCATATTTTTAACCTTAATCATTTATTTTAATCAAATTTTACAATATTTTAAAAGATCTATAGGATATCAGATGGAAACATTATGAGACTTCTACATTTCTTGTTTTTCATTCTTTCTTCTTGATCTTCCATTCCTTGTCCATCCTTCAATCATACTTTGGCTAATTTTAAAAATAAAAATAAATGAATTTATGTTTTATTTCGGGTAGGAATACAGAAGGAGGGGGGGGGGCAATCATACAGCTTTTGTGCTACTATTAAGAACTCAAATCAAATATTTAAAAGAAAATATCAATTTTCTAAACATTCCAATCATTACATAATACTTACACCCGTAACACAACGAAACATCTAAGATTTAACTGGGACATTTTCCAAGGGAGGTCGGAGAATTTAAATGCAATGTGAAAGTATACTTATTGTATAATTCACTAATGACATTGTATCTTTTAAAGAAAAGTAAATTAAACGATTGTTTTCGCTCTTAACAAAGGCAAAATTACAATCAGCGCAACAATCTCATTAGAATTGATATTTCGTGCCAGCCTGGAAACCCAGTTTTGCCTGGAAACTAAGTTTCCCTATAAACTGAACCTACTCAATTTAAAATCATAAAACAAAACAAATAACGTTCCAGTGGTTCTACTGAGTTCCCCAATCATTCAAAATTTAGGGCAAATCGTTTAAAGGGTTCCTGAATTAACCCTTTAAAGGCTGGGGGGGCCTGAATCTCTGTAAAGCTTGAGGGACGGGGGGGAAGTACTACCAATTCCCTAGAAAAAAAATTTAGACAGCTAATTTTTAAAAAAATGCCAAAAAAATGTCGGAAAAATGTAAAAAAAAATTTGATTAAATTGACAAATATTAAGATGTGACACATGTTACTACATCCATTTTTTAAGGGCTTTATAAAAATATAATTTTTAAATCTGTAGCTTGTAGTTCCAAAAAAGTTATGGGCTATTTTATATTTTTTTTTCTATGCATAAAAAAATTGTTTTTACAAAATTACCTTTGAATTACTATTCCTTAAAAGGTTGGAAAAATTAAAGGTAATAGTGTCAAAAAGGGCCTAGGGCAAAAACAGAGATTACACCTTTAAATTATATAGATATACCTTGAGAGATGAATGGGTTCCAATATGCTGGAAAAGTGAAGGTTTGTAATGAATCCATAGTTTTTCTTCTTCTTTCTTACACTTCTTATTATCCTGGGGACAGAGGATCAGCTTTGTCAAAAACCAATATCGGGCCAAGATTAATCAAAGGTAATAATAACTCAAGATAACGCATTGATTAAAACTCTAAAAACTTAAATAATTAAAAATAGATCAAATTCACCTGTAATTGACTATTTTACGAAGTAGTGAGTACAAATAAAACTTTCTAGTAAAATCAAATTAAATGAGACTTTCAGGGATGTAATACTTCTATTCTTCAAACCAGAAGTGACTTCAGTGAGACTTTAAAGATTATCTAATCGTTACAATGTATTTGTGACATTTTTAAATAAAAATATTTTACAATATTAAACGAAAATCACACAAGTGTACCAAGATAATTTGCTCTTTGAAAAAGAAGTAAAAATGTGTAAGTATACATGTTCACTATAGCCGGCCAAACGGCTGAACCAAATGAGCTGATTTTTTTGTTGATACCCATGGGTAGCCTGGGGTTGACAAAGGCTTAACAATTTTTGATTTTTTTTGTCCACGGGCAACGCCGAGGCCTTCTGCTAGTTATAAATAAAATATATTTTTACAACCATTACTGAAAAATCTTATTTACTTTGTGACTAATCATTTCAAGCTGAATTTTCCTGATCAAGTTTACAGACTTTGGTCTGAAGAATATTCACAAGCAGCCAGTCAACTAAATAAAAAAATTCCATTTTTAAAATAAAAGACGTAATTTAACACAAAACTTTAACTTATGTCATACGAGCTTGGGAAAATATATAATAAGTCTTCAGATTTTTTTCTCTCTATCTCTTTCGTTCCAAAATACCCCCCCCCCTTACATTACATCATTGCTTAGGATCCGAATTCATTGGATCTAGAACATCAAAGATTTCAGGGGTGTGCATTTAAAAAAAAAGAGAGGGTGGAAGGTTAATGATCTTGAAGGTTTGCGAAAAAATTTAATATGTAAATATCAAATGCAAGCTTTATTACCCCTTTTTATACTTATTACCTAAAAACCTATTTATACCCCTAAAAAAAAGATTTCCAAAAAGGGGGGGAATTATTTTTCAAGAAAATATATACACCCCTGTCTAGATCCAAGTGCCGAAAGTTCAACCAAAACATAAAAAAATTTTTACTCTCAAAACACACCTTTCTAATCATGTAATAGCAAAACACTTGCTGTCAGAAAAAAACGAAAACAGCAAAAGAAACTTTTGGACAAAGAAATATTCATAACTAGATCTGGATCCAGATATGGATACGGATCCGGATCAGCAAAAATATGCGGATCCACGGATCCGGATCCAAAATATCAACCAAAAACTGCAAAAAAAACTTTTTTACTCCTAAAACCCGAATCTGAACTTTTGAAAAAAGAGAGATTATAAAAAATTCCTCATTACTGAATGGTTAATTAAGTTTTAGGATTAAAATAAAAGAAAAAAATAAAACAAAAAATTTGAAAATTATTTTTGTTTTTAAAAATATAGTAAATCTTAAAGAAATAACTTGGATTCGTATCCTGATCCATTTTTTTTCCCAGTGCGGACCAGCATCCGGATCCGGATCCACATCAAAATTTAATGGATCATAAGCACTGCTAAAAACCTTCTTAACTACTAGCACTACTAACCTGGTTTATCGTTGTAGAACATGAGGAAGAACTGTACTAGCCAGGGTAGATCAGTCGACCGAAACATTTTCCCTAAAATAAAAATTTTCTAAAACTTAAAAACCAAAAGTTTAAAATTCAGGTCAATTTAAAAATTATTTCCGCCAGTTAAGAACTAACTCTGAAAACACAGATAATTAGGACTGATACTCCACGTAAAAAAGAACTCTACAAGATTGGGCTCAATTTTTTTATTAGAGTCCGCTGGGCTCACAGCCCCTTGAATGCATCCATGGATAATACTATTTGATAGAAATTACAGAATCAGGACAATTCAACTAATAGTTAAAAAAAACTCTTAGAAAATAATTTTAAGAAAGCATTTTCAAATCTTTGCCCAGTATTTTGTAAAAAAAATTAGTTCAAGTGGCTCTCCCTGAATAGATTGGCATGTCCGATTTACAACGGTACCCTTAAAAGCTTCGCCTGATCAAGAATGCATTAGATATGAGGAATTTCGTCTTTAAAAATATATGCAGGAAATTGTCGAAATTAAACACTTAACACAAGAAAAAATTAACGATTTATCTTCCACTTTATTGTTAAAATAAAAGTTTAAAAGGTACCATTGTGAATCGGGTATTTCCCTTAATTAATTGAAAGTCACTCTAAAAATTAAAACAAAAATAAGTGTGAGAAAAACCTACCTATAAATCCGAGCTGGCAGAAATCTATGACAAACCAGTTTTGCTTTGCAGCAGTTTTCTCTAAAACCAGGTCTTAGTTAAAAACTAAATAAAAAAGAGCGTG